CCACAGGCATTCCTAGCGGCCCCAGAAAGGCGAATTAGAGCCCCAAGGAGGGTACCAACAGGCCCCCAAGAGGAATGAAACTTATGTCACGCGAAAAGGGCGCTCGCGTGTCTTCACTTTCACTGCCCTTGGTGGCCCTTCGGGGCCCTCTTAGAGCCCTATTGGGCCTGAGGGTTATCCGGCCTTGTGCGCCACAATCATGCGGCAGCTTTCTGGTGATATGCGCTTGCGCCTCGCAATCGCGACGCGATTCCAAGGAAATGCGAAGTTCCACTGCCCATGCGCGAGCACAATGATCGTGCGAAACAGTCTCCTCGAACAGTGCTGGCACTTTTTGCATTGCATGTTTCTGATATGCGCTGTAGAAGAATCAAACCAGATTTCGATACATGCGTAGATAACACTTAAAACAACAAGCTTCGACTCCGACCGCTCCAACACGCAAGCAGCTCTAGTGAGGCAAGCCCCAGGCGGTCCTGAAGAAGGCTTCGGAGGGCCCCCCTGGGGCCTCGCCGAGTCCCCATCATACAGGCCTAGAGAGCCCAAGAGAGCTTCAAGAGAGCCCGAGAGATCCCCAATACGCCTTCCCACCGTCCAACCCTTGCCTCCCAGTCTCCTCTCCTTGGCTCCCTCCGCCCCTTTCCGGCGCCTTCCCCCCGCCCTCTTCGCTCTCGTTCTTTATGCTCCCATGTGCTTCCCCTGCGGAGGATGGGGGTGTGAGGAGGGCGGGGGTAACTGCAACCGGTCTTCTCGCCGACGCGGAGCATGTGCAGGCAATTCCCGTGGTGGGGGCGCTCCTGGCTGGCGATCGCCCTCGTCGTCTTCCGTTTTGCCCGTGCTCTTTGCATACTGCGTGGACATGCCAAAACAAAATCTGTATAGCTTCAAGCAAGCAGCGAAACCAGTTAGGAGAAACTGCAGGTCCAGTCACCCACGCAGGCTCGACTCGATGATTCGATTTGTTTAAATCGAATAATTTATGTGCGCGGCGGCTGTGTTAAGGTGCGTTTAATTTCGCTGCTTAGGGCGTTGACCCCAGGGTGTGTGCAAATCGTCCGTTCCTTTTAGGAGCTCGCCAGAATTTTATCTGACCTCCTCGGCCCCACCTCGTGGCGGTCAGCGTCGCTCCCCCTTTCTCCGCCAACCCTTGCTGCGCCCATCTCTCCCGTGATGTTTCTTCCGACCGTACCCGCGTCATCGCCTCTGATTTGGGGTCACGAAGTGTTTTATAGAAAACGATGCTTTCATGAAAAAAGTGAGGTCAAAATCGTGGCAGGGTTTGTTGGGGCACCGGGGCCACGACGTGATGCGCCCTCCTCCTCATCGGCCTCCTCATCTTCTGGCGCCTCGGATGGCGGCGCCGCCGCGGATGGGTCACCATCGGATGGCGGCGCCGCCGCGGATGGACCACCATCGGATGGCGGCGCCGCCACGGATGGACCACCATCGGATCGCGGCGCCCCCTCGGCGCCCAAGCCCAACTCTTGGATGAGCGCCTCCTGGATCTCTCCCTCACCTGGGCCCGCGAGCTGCAACGTCTCCGCGTCGCTGACCTCGCCGAGGCGACGACGACGACGACGACGACGACGGCGACGACGACGACTACAACGGCGACGACGACGACGGCGTCGCTGACCTCGCCGCCTGGGCCCGCGAGACGCAGCGTCTCCGCGTCGCTGGCCGCAGCGTCGGCCATCGCTTGGTGTTGCTTGGTTGCCTGGGCGTGGACACGCCCCGCGCGAGGGGCCCGCTAACGGGCGCGCTTGATCCGCGCCTGGCTGACACCAGTAAGCGCGGGGCTTGCTATGCGTCAGCGATCATCATCGCTAAGTTACTTGCTCGCCTAAGTGGCATAACTGACTTAAGTAGCACCCCGTGTTATCCTTTTGTTATCCTTTTGTTATCATGTGTTCTCCTTTTGTTATCCTGGGATCGGGGTCAGATAGGATAACAAAAGGATAACAAAATGATAGCAATGGTCAAATAGGATAACAAAATGATAACAGAAGGATAACAAAATGATAACACGGATCAAATATGATAACATGTTATCATGTTGTTATCCTTTTGTTATCCTATTTGGCCCTTGTTATCCTTTTGTTTTGTTTGTTATTCTATCGGCCCTGATCCCATGATAACAAAAGGATAACAAAGGGTAACAACAGGATACCAAACTGATGACACTGGGTGCTACTTAAGTCACTTACGGAACTTACCCTACACCTAGCAGCACTTACCCAAGCGATTGGCACCGCTATCCCATCATTATTCTCGTCTTCCTCCAACGAGCGGTTGCCATCGCTACTTCCCCAATGCTCAAAAGCGATCGCCATCGCTACTTCCCCAAAGCCCAAAAGCGATCGCCATCGCTACTTCCCCAAAGCCCAAAAGCGATCGCCATCGCTACTTCCCCAAAGCCCAAAAGCGATCGCCATCGCTACACATCCGCATCCCCCTCCTCATGCCAGCTCCCCGCCCCGCCCACAGCAGGAACGATGCCGACGTACTATACACACAACGCATCCGCATCACCCCCGCCCGCCCTGACACCCATCCCTCCCTGAGCGATCGCCATCGCTACCCAATCCCCATCATCCTCGCCCAAGCGATCACCATCGCTACATCGCAGATCCCCTTCTACTCGCCCGATCGATCCCCATCGCTGTCTCTTTTACTCTTATACAACGAATGCCCGCGCTCTCCCGCGGGCACACGGGCGGGCCGCGCGGGGCGCGGGGCGCGCGGGGCGCGGGCCGCGCGAGGCGCGGGCCGCGCTCCCGCAAAGGGGCGCGGGCCGCGCGGGGCGCGCGGCGCGGGCGGGGCCCGCGGCCCGCGCTCCGCCCGCGGACGGCGGCTCACCCGTCAGGCCGTCAGCTCGACCTCGTCGCGTTCGCCAGCGCTGCCTCCACGTCTGCCCTCGCCGACGCCAGGGACTGCGACTCGGCGCGGAACGCGGCGGCCGCCTTGGCGCACACGTCCGCCGCCGTGCTGGCACATGCCTCCGCCCGCTTGATGCAGTCGATCACCGCCTTGCATCGTCGCCGCCACCGTCGCCTCGTCATCGTCGTTGTCGGCGTCGTCGTCGCCGTCGCCATCCTCGTCGCCAACGTCGTCGTCATGTCGCGCGTGCGTCGTCGCCCCCATCCCCCCGTCAGCGATCACCGTCGCTTCCCTGCTCGTCGTCGTCGTCGCCGCTGCCGCCTTGCAGCTCGCCGACGAGATGGTCACCGATGAGGTAGCAGTGCCGCCCGCCATTGGCGCCATGACGAGCGACATCGCGGCCGCCGACGAAGGTCCTGGTGCCTTGCTGCTCGAGTGCACGATTGCCGCCACGCTCCGCACCGTCTCCTGCAGCGCCTCGGCCGTCTTCAGCAGAGCCCCATGCGTGCTCGAGCCGTCCGAGCGCGGCGGCGGGTGGCTCGGGGGCGGCGGCGGCGCCCCGCGGCGCGGCGGCGTCTCGGGGCGCTCGCCGCGGTGGCGGCGCGAGGGCTCGGCGCGGTGATCGCCGCGGCGGCGGCTGCGCGACTTGCGGCGGTCGCGCCGCCCAGAGGGGACGGCGGTGGCGGCGCTGCCACTGCCGCGCCCAGCGGTGGCCTTCTCCTTCTCCTTCTCCTTCTGGTTCTCGTACTTCCTCCGCTCCCGCACCTCTTCAGACGGCATCTTGTCCTCGAGGATCGCCATGGGGACTTCTTCGCGCCGCGCGTGGCCCTCCGTATCGGGCTCGCCCTGGTAGAACTTGTGCGACTCCACAGTGCTACTCTGCAGGTGGTTGTCGAGCCATTCGACGCGCAAGTCGTGCGAGGACTTGTATGCCACCTTCCCGCATTTGTCTAAAGGGCACTTCACCCTGTACCACTCCTCCTCCGCCTCCGACTTGGTCTCATCGACCATGGCCATGGCTGACGGTGCTGGTGTAGGCGCTGGCGTCGGCGCTGGCGTTGGCGCTAGCGTCGGTGCCGACGTCGGTGCTGGCGTCGGCGCAGGCGCAGGCGCTGGCGCGCCGCCCTCGTGAGCCAACACATGGCTATGATATGTGCAAATTCCAGCGGTCGGAATCGTTACCCATGCCAGCGATCGGAGTCGCTACCCATGCCAGCGATCGGAATCGCTACCCATGCCAGCGATCGGAATCGCTACCCAACAAACACCGTCGTCGTCGTCAGTGTCGTCTGTGTGCCGTCGCCGCGATGGCGATCATCACGGTGACAATGGCGACGACGATTGCAGCGGCGACAATGACGACGACGACGCTGACGACCGTTATCGCGACGATGACGACGGCGATGGCAACGACGACGGCGACGGCGACGATGCCGGTGATGACGCCGACGATGCGCAGGGAAGCGATGGCGATCGCTGGGGGGGAGCGACGACGCGCGCGCGACATGACGACGACGCTGGCGACGATCGGGAATCGCATTGAAGACAAGAGACGAGACGGGGACAAGCGGACACTGACCCATGTGATTTCTGCGGCCAAGGGCCCTTAGGGCCGATGGAACATGTTGCCACTGCCGCGCCAGTGCAGGGTGTTGGAGCCAGTATGAGCCCTCCGCTGTGCCCGTTTTATGTCCAGGTATCAGCGTTTTTTTGGGCCCAGGTCTCCAACAAAAAATCATGTTGACACTGCCAATTAAGTTTGGAAAGCGACCCGTCGACGGCGACGATGACGACGATGGGCCATTTTATACTATGGCCGCCTGCGACAAGGCGAGCCCGACCTCTTATGCGCGCCGCCCGTGCGCGGCGCGAAGGAAAGCGGCCGCGAGCCGAGGACAGCGCGCGGGCCGCGGGCGCGAGCCGCGGCCGAGGGCGGCACTCAGCGGGCGCAAGGGGGGCCGAGCTCGGCGCCGAGCTCGGCGAGGCTCGGTGGGCTCGCCACCCATTCCCTGTACAATCGATCGGAGCGGCAGCGAGCAGGCGGCCGCGAGCCGCGGGCGAGGGCGGGCCCGCAGCGGGCGAGGGCAGCCGCAGGCGGGCCGCGAGCGCAGCACGCGGCCTCACAGAAACCGCGTTGGCGGCGGCCGCTTTGCCACGGTCGACGGGGCGGCCGCGGGAGCGGCGGCCGCGGGCACGGCGGCGGGGGCGGCGGCCGCGGGGGCGGCGGCCGCGGGCCGCGGCCCGCGTGGCGGCGGGCGGACCACCCGCGGGGGCGGCACCACCTGCGTCGGCGCCATCTTCGGGTGCACCTGCGGCGGCGCCACCTGCGGGTGCGACCCAGGGGGGCGCGTCCCTGGCCCGAAGGCGCCGCGGCCGTACTTCGCCGCGAAGTACGCCTTGTTCTTGCCGCCCCTGTTGGCCCACTTCCCCGTGTTCCAGCGGTAGTTCTGGCCGCGCCACGTCGTGGGGCCGCCCTCGTCTGGGCCGACGGGGCCGCGCTGAGCCCATGAGAGCCCCATGCTCCTCGCCGCCGCCGACTCCGCGCGCAGGTCCTCTATCATCTCGGGCGTGTACCTGTTGTTGTACACAGCCTTCCACGTGGCGACCCGACCCGCCTCCGTCGGCTCCGCATGCGGCGCAGGTTGCACGGCAGGGCGCACCCCCTGCGACGGCGCGGGGCCTGCGGGGCGCACTTGCGACGGCACGGGCGCGAACGGGCGCGCAGGACGCACCTGCGATGATGGCCGCGGGGGAGGGACGCCAGCGTGCGCTGGAGCCAGGCCGCGCGCGCTGCCTGCGCTCGAGGACGGCAGCGCCCCCGCGTGCGCCGCGTGCGACGCGGCAGACACCTCCACCGAAGCGTAGGCAGGTGGCGCACTCTTCGGCGGCTCCGCTGTCCTCTGCCGCACGCGGCGGCCGACCCCGAGCTCGATGGTCAACGGCGCGCCGCCCAGAGAGCTCCCGTCGGCCGACCCCGAGCTCTGGACCGAGCCGCCCGAGATCGGGGCCTCGGACACGGCCGCGCCGCTGCTATCGCCCCGCGGCTCGGACGCCGCCGCCAGGGCAGCGTCGGCGCATTCGTCCCCGGAGTCGATGCTGATCGACAGCACCACCTCCGCCTCCACCGCCTCCTCGTGGGCGGCCTCCGCAGCGCCCGCAGCGGCAGCCGCCTCCTCGTGGGCGGCCTCCTCCGCCTCCTCCGCCTCCTCAGCGCCCGCAGCGGCAGCCGCCTCCTCAGTGCCCGCATCGGAAGCCTGCGCATCGCCCTCAGCGGCGGCCTCCGCATCGCCGTCAGCGGCAGCCGCCTCCTCCTCCTCGGCGGCGGCATCTGCGTAGTGCGCGAGCTCGGCCGCAGTCGCATCCGCGGCGACGCGCGACGCAGCGGCCGCCTCCTCTGCGGCGCCGGTCGCCTCCTCGCCCTCGTGGCGGCCCAGCAACGCGTCGAACGCGCTGGCGGCCTGAAAGAACGCGCCCGCGGCGTTCGCCGCGGCGTCCGACGCCATGCTCGGCCGCAGTTGCCGCAGTCACAGCCGCGGCGGGCGGCCGCGTGCGAGCCAAAAAAATGGCTATGACAACGCGTGCGATTAATGCTATGTGCAATGCGCGCGCAATGCCAGCGATCGAAATCGCTTCCCCCCGCCCCATCTGCCTCCCACTGCCGACCCGTCTTCCCTTCCCTTCCCATCCGATCGCAGTCGCTTCGCCCCTCGTCCTGAGAGCACCCCGTCCCCCATCCAAGTTGCCACTATCGCTTCGCCGCCATCTTCGCCTCCTCCTCCTCTTCCTTCCCCAAGCGATTGCCATCGCTACCTCCCCCGCTCCTCCTCCTCCTCCTCCTTCTCCGTCCCCGAGCGATCGCCACCGCTACCTCGCCCACTCTTCCTCATCCTTCCCCGAGCGATCGCCATCGCTACCCTCCTCCATATTTTTCCCGTCCCCATCCTCGGCGGCGCAGTCGACGAGGCGTGTTCGACAACGCATGCATGCTGCGCCGTTGCAGCACCCGCGCGCGAATGATCGCCGACCAGGCTCAGCCCAGCATCCCCAGCTGCTGGACGAAGGCGAACAGCTGGCCCGCCACAGTTGCCACCAAGAGGATGGACTTGCTGCGAGCCGCAGGGTCGGAGGATCCCAAGATGCGAAAGAGCATCAGCATCATCGCGCCCGCACCGTTCAGTAGCGCGCGAATCAGCCCGCGACGCACTTCTTCGTCTGCGTGGCCACCCACTTCTTGGCCGCAGAGATCGCCTTGTCGCTGCTGCCGCCGTAGCCGGCGAACTTGCATGCAACCGACTGGCCTGCACCTTTAAGGCCAGTTCGGCGCAAGACCTGGTCGCGGGACCACTTCACCGAGTACGATGGCTGCGGGGACTTCTTGCCCACATTCGCCTTCTTCTTCTTCTTCTGCTTAGTCTTCTTATCGTCCGCCGCCTTCGCCGCAGCGGCAGTCTCCTTCGTCGACTTCTTGTTATTCTTGATATGTTTGTTCTTCTTCTCCTTATTCTTCCCTTTCGCCTCCTCCGCCTTCGCCTCATCGGCCTTCCTCTTCTTATCGCCAGCCGCGCTGGCCGCGGGGGCGCCACTCTCGGAGTCGGAGTCGTCGTCGCTGCCGTCGTCATCCGACTCGCTGTCGCTCAGCGACGGCGGTTTGTGGGACACGCTCGGCGTCTTGCCCCCCAGCTGCGCGTAGATCTTGTCCCTTGCCTCCTCCACGCTGTGCTTCGACGGCTTCTTGGCATCGGCCGACGCGGCGGGCGCGGGCGCCGCGTCGGCGAGCGGCGGCGGCTCGGCCTGGTTGGGCGTGTATCGCCTGAAGGGGGCGTCGCGGTCGCGCAACGCACCGCTGTCCTCGCGCCCGCGATTCAGCGCAATCGCCCTGTCGGCGAGCTGCAGCGCCATGTCGACACTCGATTGCTCAGGAGAGCTCTTCAGGCGAGCTTTGTTCTCCCGCATCGGGACCGCGTCGCTCAACGCGAGCAGCTGGGCGACGTCCAGCGGGCACTTGACTGGGGCATCGCCACTTTCGGCGTGCGCGCGAGAATAGACGTCTCGGTGCGCCCTCCGCATGGCAATCGCGCCCTCGGGGAGCTTATCGACGAACGACGGCTCCACCTCGGCAAGGCGCTTGCACTCCTTCCACGGGAGGAGCTTCTTGGTGCACGACTTCGCCCTCTTGAAAATAGCCGGACAGGGCCAACGGGGGCCGGCGCATTGCCCGCTCGAAGCCCTCCACCGCGAGGGCGGTGCACGTCGCCATTTGGATCGTCGGCTCATGCAACGTGCGCAACCCGAGTTTTTTTTGCACGCCTGCATCATGACCGCAACTCGGCCCATGAAGTCGCTGTCCTCATCCAGTATTTCCGCCCACTGCGCCGCCGTCAGGTATGATGTGATCGACGTGAAGTCCTGCATGGGCGTCCTGGTCACCGACATCAGCTCTGCGCCCGCTGCAGCGTTGGCAACCAGCATATTCGCCGACGTTGTGGCTAACTGCGTGACGCGGCCGAGCAGCATGGCCAGCTTCTTATTGCCGAATGGCATCTTGCCGATCTGCAAGATCAGCGCGGCCGAGTCCCCGGCGGAGACGAAGGTCCACGGCTCCATAACGCTCATCGCCATGCAGCACTGCGCCGTCACGACCTCCTTACATGCATTGCTCCCCTTCTCAAGCTGAGTGAGGAACGATGCGGCGGCCTTCGGCTGCTCCACCAGCGCGCTGGCCGCCATGCTGCTAGCGCGGCGGCAACGGGGGGGCGCGCACCCGCCAGGGCCAGCAACGGCTAACCAGTGGACGGCTAAGCTAGCGGCAATGACCGCACAGCGATCGATATCGCTTTGCCCTCCACCGCCTCCGACTCCCCCCCCCCCCTCTCCCACCCCCCCCCTCCCTGATGCTCTTCACCCAATCCACCACTTCCATCCGCTCTCTGGTCGAATAAGCCTCATCATCCGCCTCATCCCCCCCTCCTCTATACCATCCTCCTTACCCGCTCCCGAGCGATCGCCATCGCTACTACCTCCCCATGCACCCCCCCTCGCCCAAGCGGTCGCCATCGCTATTTCCCCGCGCCCCCACCCACCCCCACACCACCACCACCACCACCACCACCACCGCCACCGCCACCACCACCACCACCACCACCACCACCACCACCACCACCACCACCACCACCACCACCACCACCACCACCACCACCCCACACCCACCCCACACCCACCCACCACCACCCCCCATCACCTCCGCCCCCTCGCCCCCTCGCCCAAGCGATCTCCATCGCTACCTCCCAATCCACGCCCCCCCTCGCCCAAGCGATCTCCATCGCTACCCCCCAATCCACGCCCCCCTCGCCCAAGCGATCTCCATCGCTACCTCCCCCCCCTCGCCCCTTCGCCCAAGCGATCGCCATCGCTACCTCCCAATCCACGCCCTCCTCGCCCAAGCGATCTCCATCGCTACCTCCCCGTGCACCCCCGCCCCCACCCCCCCTCGCCCCTTCGCCCGAGCGATCGCCATCGCTACCTCCCAAGCCACGCCCCCCTCGCCCCAGCGATCTCCATCGCCCCCAAGAACGCCCGCCCAGCGGGCCGAAAGCGCCTCCGAGAGGCCCCGACCTCCTGCATCACCCGAAAGCGCTTTCCAGACGCTCCGACCTCCCGCGTCAGCCGAAGGCGCCTCCGAGAAGCCCCAACCCCCTGCATCGCCCGAGGGGGGGGCGGGAGAGACGACGGGGGACGGGAGAGGCGATGGGGGACGGGAGAGTTGATGGGGGATGGGAGAGATGATGGGGGGCGGGAGAGATGATGGGGGACGGGGGAGAGAGAGAACTCAATACCTAAACCCAAAACATCCAGAAACCAAAACCTCACCAAAACAACTTCGACGTACCCAAAACCACCAGAATCCAAAACCTAAGCCCAAAACCTCAAGAACCCCAAACCTCCTCAAACCAACCTCGACGACGACGAGGGCGCCGTCCTCTCACCCATAGGGTGGATAGCCTCAACTCCAACACAAGGAAGTCCTTGTTCTGGAGTCCTGGGCGAGTTCCTGCCATCGTCGTCGCCACCGTCGTCTGAGGCAGCCTCATCGCCATCATCATCATCGCCGTCATGATCATCATCATGATCGTCGTCGTCATCGCCATCATCGTCATCGCCCGCCATCATCACCATCGTCGTCGCCATCATCATCATCAACGTCGTCATCGTCATCATCAGCGACGTCATCATCATTGCCGTAGTCGTCGTCATCATCGTCAGGATCGTCGGCAATCGTCGTCATCATCATCATCGTCAGTGTCGTCAGTGTCGTCAGTATGGCCAGTATCGTAGTCATCGTCGTCGTAGTAATCGTCATCGTCATCGTCGTTATCGTCATCATGCGCGTCGCCGCGTCCATCGTTACCCAAGCGATCGCCATCGCTGCCTCCCCCACTCCTCTTCCTCCTCCTCCTCCTCCTCCTCCTTCCCCAAGCGATCGCCATCGCTGCCTCCCCCACTCTTCCTCCTCCTTCCCCAAGCGATCGCCATCGCTACCTCCCCCAATTCTCTCCTTTCGCG